TACAATTCACACACAGGTTATATCTGTATATGTTAGGACACTTATGCTTCTACCTTATATAGTAATTATTTGTGTGGACGATAGGCTCCTTTGAGGTAGGAGAAATAAGGTGTAGTGAAAAGAAATGGGATTTGGAACCAAAGGATTTGGGTTTGCCCTTTAACAAGTTGTGTGGCTGAGGACACGTTACTTTTCTTCCCTGACCTTTGCTTTCTTCCTCCATAAGAGGGAGATTACAGTACAATGTGCCTCATAGTTTCTGAGGTGCATTATCAACAAAAGATAATGGATATTCAAGGATTTAGAGATTGCGGAGTGCTAATGTATTATTATCCCATTGCCCTTGTCTGTTTTCCAGAAGCCCAGCACAGTACCTTGCTTGGGGCGGGGAGGAGTGTGCACAGTGAATATTTGTTAAATGAGTAGGCCATTGTGCTGACTTCATTTGGTGTTCACAATTCCCCTCTGAAGTAAGCTTTAATATCCTCATTTCAGGATGAACAAGCTGAGGTTTGGAGTGGGTATACTCATTCATTCATTCATTCATTCATTCATCCATCCATCCATCCATCCATCCATCCATCCATCCATCCATCCATCCATCCATCCATCCATCCATCCATCCATCCATCCATCCATCCATCCATCCATCCATCCATCCATCCATCCATCCATCCATCCATCCATCCATCCATCCATCCATCCATCCATCCATCCATCCATCCATCCATCCATCCATCCATCCATCCATCCATCCATCCATCCATCCATCCATCCATCCATCCATCCATCCATCCATCCATCCATCCATCCATCCATCCATCCATCCATCCATCCATCCATCCATCCATCCATCCATCCATCCATCCATCCATCCATCCATCCATCCATCCATCCATCCATCCATCCATCCATCCATCCATCCATCCATCCATCCATCCATCCATCCATCCATCCATCCATCCATCCATCCATCCATCCATCCATCCATCCATCCATCCATCCATCCATCCATCCATCCATCCATCCATCCATCCATCCATCCATCCATCCATCCATCCATCCATCCATCCATCCATCCATCCATCCATCCATCCATCCATCCATCCATCCATCCATCCATCCATCCATCCATCCATCCATCCATCCATCCATCCATCCATCCATCCATCCATCCATCCATCCATCCATCCATCCATCCATCCATCCATCCATCCATCCATCCATCCATCCATCCATCCATCCATCCATCCATCCATCCATCCATCCATCCATCCATCCATCCATCCATCCATCCATCCATCCATCCATCCATCCATCCATCCATCCATCCATCCATCCATCCATCCATCCATCCATCCATCCATCCATCCATCCATCCATCCATCCATCCATCCATCCATCCATCCATCCATCCATCCATCCATCCATCCATCCATCCATCCATCCATCCATCCATCCATCCATCCATCCATCCATCCATCCATCCATCCATCCATCCATCCATCCATCCATCCATCCATCCATCCATCCATCCATCCATCCATCCATCCATCCATCCATCCATCCATCCATCCATCCATCCATCCATCCATCCATCCATCCATCCATCCATCCATCCATCCATCCATCCATCCATCCATCCATCCATCCATCCATCCATCCATCCATCCATCCATCCATCCATCCATCCATCCATCCATCCATCCATCCATCCATCCATCCATCCATCCATCCATCCATCCATCCATCCATCCATCCATCCATCCATCCATCCATCCATCCATCCATCCATCCATCCATCCATCCATCCATCCATCCATCCATCCATCCATCCATCCATCCATCCATCCATCCATCCATCCATCCATCCATCCATCCATCCATCCATCCATCCATCCATCCATCCATCCATCCATCCATCCATCCATCCATCCATCCATCCATCCATCCATCCATCCATCCATCCATCCATCCATCCATCCATCCATCCATCCATCCATCCATCCATCCATCCATCCATCCATCCATCCATCCATCCATCCATCCCCCTGCCTTGAGGCGACCTTCCCTGAAGAATTGAAGTCTTCCAGCTTAGCTGCAACGGTCTTACCCCAACTCCGCTGAAACTGGCGGGATCCCACATCGTCACCCCTCCTCCCCCCTCCCCGAGGAAACTGAGGCCCCAGGGAGACTGCACACCTAGTTTGCAGTCAAACTAGGAGCCAGTGTGGAGCTAGATCCCACATCCCTGCTTTTCCCACCATGATCCCCACCCCCAAGCCAGCCTCACTTTATATGACCTACACTTTTTTTTTACTGCTTTTTTAAGGAATTACATTTGCCTTTGGCACTTGGCCAGGTCTTCCCTCCACCATGGCTGTGTTATGTGGTGGTTAGAACTGGATTCCCAGTTCACATCCTTGTTCCCTTGCTTAATAGCTGAGTGCCCTTGGCAAGCCAATTAACCTTTATGCCTAGATTTTCTCATTTATAAAGTGATAATAGTTCCCATCTCATACACCTATGATGAGGATTAAATAAGATTGTAATGTAAAATGCTTGGAAGGCAGCAAATGCTGATACATGTAGCTGTTATGGTGTTCTTCCCACTCTAGTATCCAAAACTTTTTCAGTTGGTCAAACTTCAATCTTAGAACTTTGTAACAGTTGGAACGTGCATGTTGGCCTAGAGTCCTTAACTGAATGTTTGCCTCCTTTCCCAGCCCAGGAAGATGGTCAGCCTTATTTCATACTGACCCTAACACTGCTGTCTGAAACCGTTTTCTCCAGGCATCTGGTCAACACATCATTGCCCCTGGGGAGAAAGAAGGGTCGGTTTTGCTGAGCCTCTCCAGCCTTGGACACCATGGGCAAATAGAGATGGCATTCACTTAGTTACTCATTCATTCAGTCATGATTCAGCCAACATGTGTGAATATTTAGTGCCCACTCCGAGGAAGGACCTAAACCGGGGAGTATGGGAATTCCAACACTTTATTAAACACAGTCCCTTCCCTGAAACTTAATTAGGGGGGCGCTAGAGAACATTTTAAAAGTGCTAAGGAGAATTTCTAAGAATCAGATTTCCCTTTCTTGGATGTTCCACAGCCAAATGGCTACTCTGTGCATTCTTCCCTAGACTGTGGTTGACTGGCTCATTTTTTCCTTTTTTCCTTTCTTATCTCCAGGAACATAATACTTTGGTACCTTTTTTTTTTGGCAGCTGGCCGGTATGGGCATCTAAACCTGTGACCTTGGTGTTATAAGGCTGTGCTCTAACCAACTTAGCTAACTGGCCAGCCTGTTTAGTACCATTTCTTAAAGGCCTTTTCTTATTATGGGAACTTTCTCTGGAAAATGCTTCATTAGCAGATGTCACTGAGTTGTTCCAGGTGTTGGTTTGACGTGTTTTTCTCATTTCCTTTCTTAGGCTGCCCTTCCAAAGGCCACTGTACTGGATCTGTCCTGCAATAAACTGAGTACTCTACCGGTAAGACTGGCAAGCAGCCATAACTCCTGGAGCCCCGGATGCATCCCTTTCTGTTTCCCTGGGGCGGTGTCATAAATCACAATTTCAGCATAGGCCTACAGGCAAGCCACAGCTAAATCTAAGTGTGTGTGTGTGGGGGGGGAGTTGTTTATTCTCAGTGGGAAGAGAATCAAGGTATAGGCCTCATTCTTTAGAACAGTGGAAAAGTCAGGCCACAGAAAACTAAAGTCAACAGGATACTGGCTGAGTCACATACTGGGCTCATCTTTTTTTTGCCTTATTTTATTCCTTTGAAAAACAGTTTATCTCCCTGTTGCTTTGAAGAGGCTAGAGACCATTTCCCTTTTTTTTGTTGTTCTTTTTTTTTTTGTTTTGTTTTGTTTTTTTGGCAGCTGTCCAATATGGGATCTGACCCCTTGACCTTGGTGTTGTAACACTGCATTCTGACTAACTGAGCTAACTGGCCAGCCCTATAGACCATTTTGTAAGTTGCTCCACATTATGGGGAAAAAGCTGTCAATAGCTTCCTTGTGCATCTCCTCCCTGCACACTCCACCTCATGCATCTTTTGATAGGGAACAAGAAAGAATGTGATTCTATGGGACTACCTTATCATTATCCTTCCAAATATGAACCTGAATTACTTGAGATTTGCTACATCCAATCTGTGGTAAAATCCTTTTGATTTTCCTTGCCTAACTTCTCCTAGTTCTTTCTCCTTTCGCTCTATCTGTGTGGGCACTGGATTCATTTAGCCCCTCAGCCTCTCTTGGGTAGTGGCTGGTTTCTCCTCCATAGCATGGCTCCTTCCCGGTCAGGCCTAAGTGTGCTGTCATTGTTGCCTCTGCCATCCATCACTCTGGCCATGTCACTCCTTGCTGTACTCTAGAGCAGCTTCCTGTTGGGCTCTGGCTCAGGGATTGAGTTCAGAAGTTGGCAGTTTTCTTCTTTAGATCATTAGTCTATTCTCCTCTCTGTATTCTCCTAGGCCTCCTTGCTCATTGTGTAAAGCATCTTCCCATATTCAAAAAGCATCTAAGATCCCACTTCTTCCAGGAAGTATTTTCTGTCTAATTAAAGAAGGGTAGCAATTCCTTGCAGCCTCACACCTGCTGTACACTTTGGCATATAGTCATTCAAAACCCTCCAAATGTGCTTTTCAATCTGGGAGTGTTTGGTTATCTGTACTAACAACTTCCATTTCACTCTGCAGTGCAGATCCACTGGTGTTTACAAGAGCATGAATAGTGCCTCATTAGCTGAGGTTGTATCATCCCTTTCAGATTGGTGCTTAGCAAAGATTTAATGTCAGGGGGATGTTTTGGCCTGTGCTGAAGCAGAGCCAGAATATGGGTAGGATGGGCCCCAGCTTAGTCAGTTATTCAGAGAACACTCATGGAGTACCTGTGCTAAGTACTATGCTAGATGCTGCAGATGACAGAGAATAAGACTAAATACTAAAGGAATGATTGCCCTTTTTAGCAAAATGGATGGTCACACTGTGTTTTGACAGATTCTGTGAAAGGTGAATTATAGGGTGTTTTGGGAAGACAGAATGGGTTCCTAATTCCAGTAGCAGTGTGGGGATGGGTTGGAGGAAGAACTGAGGAGGAAGGAAGACACATGTATTTTGTGCCTACTTTGTGCTAAGCCCTTTTATATACACATTTTGGTAATTACCACGAGGAGTGGCAGGTGTTCTTTTTCATTTGAGGAGGAATAGCTGGTAAAAGAGTCAGGATTTATACATAGGTGCCTCTGACTTGGGGGCTTTCAGAGTGTTACACCAAAGTGTGTGAGCTCAAGGCTTAGGTGTCCTCTCTTTGGGTCCTAGTCGGATTTCTGTGGCCTCACACACCTGGTGAAGCTGGACCTGAGTAAGAACAAGCTGCAGCATCTGCCGGCAGACTTTGGTCGTCTGGTCAACCTCCAGCACCTGGATCTCCTCAACAACAGGCTAGTCACCCTGCCTGTCAGCTTTGCTCAGCTCAAGGTAACAATTCATGGACCAGGTTTCACGGCCAGGTGTGGCAGTGGGCTCAGAGACTGGTGGAACATGGCCGTGAGAAAGGCCAAGAGATATACCACCTTCTTGGCCCTGCCTCAGGTGGCTTTCCCTGTAGGTGGAACACACAGTGGCTTTCTTCCTGCTTGTTTTGTTACACCTTCAGGGACTGTGTGTATGAACTTGAACTTAGCCAGCCTCTTCGTCCATCTCTTTAGAATCTGAAGTGGCTGGACCTGAAGGATAACCCCCTAGATCCTGTCCTGGCCAAAGTGGCAGGCGATTGCTTGGATGAGAAGCAGTGTAAGCAGTGTGCAAACAAGGTAAGCATGAGGCCTCTGGGTGTCTCTTTCACACACTCCCTTGGGACTTGCCTTTCCCATCTCTTGTTTTTTTACTCCCAGGGCACCTGTAGCTGAGTGTTGATTAAAGCACCAAGGTCTCAGTGAAATATGTCCACTGTGAGTCTGTCAAGCAGAGACTTTTGTTTTTTTCCCATCTCTTGTTTTTTTACTCCCAGGGCACCTGTAGCTGAGTGTTGATTAGAGCACCAAGGTCTCAGTGAAATATGTCCACTGTGAGTCTGTCAAGCAGAGACTTTTGTTTTTACATTTACTGTTCAAGTAGTAGAACAAGACTGTCTTCAGCTCTCTTGCAGTTCTTGCTTTCTTAAGAAGTCAGGACCTTGCATGATCCAACATTGCACTCTGTTGACAGTTTTTTTTTTTTTTTTTCGTGACCGGTAACGGGATCACAACCCTCGGTGTCGCGCCCGTACCGCGCTCAGCCAGTGAGCGGACCGGTCTCTATATGGGATCCGAACCCTCGGTGGGAGCGCCGCTGCACTCCCAAGCACCGCACTCAACCGAGTGTGCCACCGGGCCGGCCTGTTGACAGTTGTTTTAATGGAACAAGAGGGTTAGGGGCTGTGGCCTCTCTGAGGCACAATTATTGTAGGAATGTTGGTAATAAAAGTGTTAATATTTATAAATTTATACTGTCAGCAGACACATCCTGGGCAGACCTGGCATTTGACTATAGTTGAGCCATCTCATAGAGGAGTGGTAAACTAAAGACAGCATGCAAGGCAAACATTGCCAGTGGCAGTAACCTTGAAGATGTCTTACCCTCCTTCTTAAGAACAGCACTACACCCATCTCTCAATAATGCCAACTACAGTCATTTTTTTCCCTCCAGCTTTGGGACAGATTGCTGCTTCATTAGCTGAGCACCAAATGACTGACTTGGCTGTGTTTAGGGGACATGTCGAACAAAAAAACCCATAACTTTAAATACTACAATTAATGTCACTTAAATGTGTATATGATAGGTCTCTACCGTGAAACTCAAAAGTAATGGCCTTTTCTTTTTCATCATTAGTTCAGAGATAAATCTAGTCTGTCATCTTATCATCCACTGTTACAAGAAATCAAATACGAAGTTAACATAACCAAGTGGCCAAAACAACAGTTTTCCCTTAGATAAAGACAGTACAAGTGATCAGTGAACTCTTGTTTTGAAAACTTGGTGCTTAGAAGTGATTTCCATTCTGAAGACACAGTAGCTACCATCGATTACCCTTCCTTTGTCCTAGACACTTTGCAAGTACCATCTCACAGTCTTCATAACCCTGAGAAGTAGGTATTACTTCCATTTCTCTGACATGAGAAACCCTCAGCATGTACACAGCTTCCATTTATTCATTCATTCATTCAACAGATAATATGTTCAACCATATGAAACTGATGATATTCCACAGTTTTTGACTTACAGAAATCATTTTTGGGGCTGGCCAGTTAGGTTGGCGGGTTGGAGCGCAGTGTTATAACACCAAGGTCAAGAGTTCAATTCCCGCACCAGCCAGCCACCACAAAAAAAACCAAAAACATTTTTATTGAGTGCAAAGGCTTTTTGTACTCGCATATATCTTCCAGACAAAGCTCCAGGTAATGCAGTGCATTGTGGATGTGGTAACTAAAACCTTTGTCCCTGGCACTGCTGCCCCAGAGCTGCAGCACCTTTAGGCATTGTAGGGGAGTGGCTTGGGCCAGCCAGAAGGAAGTCACTTGTCTCCAGGAGTTAGCTTAGGTCTCACCAGCTCTGGACTTTGTGGGTGAATGAATTAGTTGTAGTAACTGATCAGCTTGCTGCATATTTAAAGCACCTTTCAAATAATTCGTTCAACAGTATTCATAAAATGCTTACTATATGCTGAGAACTAGGATAGGTAGATAACATCTACCCTCCAGGAGCTCCCAGTCTAGACTAGGGGCGTCCCTCCCATTTCTGAACTGCCTGTGTTTCCAGATAATTAAATCCTGATGGTTGCACTTGTAGCCAATGTAAAAAGGGACATCTCTTACCTAGTAGTACACTCCCTAAAACCACCTGAATAGTTGGCACTTATTTAATATTGAGTTCAGAGTGAGACAGGGGCTTTGGACTTGGGCTGCCTCTCACTATCATGCTTGACCTTTCTTTAGATCCTGCAACTCCTTGTTGAGCAGCCATTTTTGTAAGCTTGACTCCCTTGAGAGGTGCCAGCAGGTTTAAGTCCTGCGTAACTCAGGACAAGGGTCCCTGTGGCTTCAAACCAGGCTCTTTTTTTTTTTTTTTTTTGACGGCTGGCCAGAAACCATGCTCTTGAAGGGAGATACTTTTGCAGGCCTGCTTCTAAGCCTCTCTTATGATCAGTGCATGTGTGTCTGAAGTTTCCAAGAAATGAAAAGAATTATGTTTGAATATACTTGTCTGTCCTGCAGGTTGTTTAATGCAGTAGTGAAACAAGACCCTTTTGCTATCTTAATTAGAATAGTTCAGGTTTGGGCCGGCCCGGTGGCACACTGGAGAGGCAGCGCTCCCGCCAAGGGTTCGGATCCCATGTGGAGACTGGTTCCCGCTCACTGGCTGAGCGCGGTGCGGGCGCAACACCGAGGGTTGCGATCCCGTTACCGGTCAGTAAAAAAGACAAAAAGGAAAAAGAAAAAAAAGAATAGTTCAGGTTTTTCTTTTTTATTATTATTCATGTGATACAGAAGATAAAATGATAAAGCAGCAGTCTTTACTGAACACATGTAATGCCAGGGATTGTGCTAGGCAGACAGTACAAGTTGTGTTACTTAATCTTCACAATAGTCTGAGAAGCATATCTTATCTCTTTTCCAGATGAGAAAATCAGCTCAAAAAGGTTAAGTTGCTTGCTAAGGTCACATAGTAAGTGATAGAGTCAGGATTGCATTGAGCTCCAAGCTTACGTTCTGTCCCCTGTATCCAAGGAATACTAGCTTCTAAAAAAATCACAAAGGTCTTTTAATCACCTCCTCCAACCACGCACATAGTGAGAATCTTTGCAGCTCTCTCAGTCAGAAGTCATCCATGAGTGAGTTGATGAGGATTTTGGGGAGTTGGGGTGCCAAGTACAAGCATGAAGTGTTTGGACTTTGTCTTAGAGCTCTCCTCCTTTGTGCATGTGGTAGTCTTATGACTAAGGCAGACAGGTAGGAAGTAATTACAGTTTCCTGTGTTGAATTCCACAGAAAAGGAGGAGGGGAGGGCAGGAAAGTGAGTTGGAGGAAATACTGTTTCTGCCAATCACAAGGAATTACTGGGAGAATTATATGAAATCATGCACGTGAGTGTTTGTAAAGAACGGAACTTTTTACAGATTCGAGGTGGCATTGTGTCTTACAAACTTTTTTTTTTTTTTTTTTTTGGTGGCTGGTTGGTATGGGGATCCAAACCCTTGACCCTGGTGTTTTAACACTGTGCTCTGGGCCAGCCTGTGGCTCACTTGGGAGAGTGTGGTCTTGATAACAAGAAGGCCACAGGTTCAGATCTCTATATAGGGATGGCTGGTTAGCTCACTTGGGAGAGCGTGGTATTGATAACACCAAGTCAAGGGTTAAGATCCCCTTACCAGTCATCTGTTAAAAAAAACAAACAAAAACACTGTGCTCTAAACAACTAAGCTAACCAGCCAGCCCTAAACTTTGTTCTGACAGCTTTAATGAACTGGGATCATATGACTCTTTTCTTTTTTTTTTTTTTTTTTTTTTTTTTTTTTTTTTTTTTTCCG